GTTTCCATTCTAAAGGCTTTTTAATAAATATGGCAACATTTTGTGACGTTTCATCGTTGCTGACGCATAGTGAAGTGTTTTGAGAGTCATGTGAAGGCAACAGAACTTACGTAACACATACGTTTTTTTTTTTAGTTTTTCATTTCTCGATGCGTCCTTAATGTGTCGGAATATACCTCGTTCACCCTACCAGGGATTTTTAGATCTAGTAAATGTATGATTTTTAATTTCCTTTATGCTACATAGCTAGGAAAAATGTTGAAGTTATGGCTTCTAGTTTTGCAATATTTCAATTAGTTTTGTTGCTATAACATTTTTATGCTGTGGTGGAGGACTGTTCCAAATCCAATTAACCCCACCCATCCCTTATTACCCCATTTGATGGTACATTCTGCATCATGCATGCTTCAAATGTTTTGAAATTAAGTTTTATTTCAAGAGTCCTGAATTACCCTGTTCTTAGGGGTAATTTGGGTTGCTTTTTTCTTTTTGCTTCTGGCACCTTACAAATCGCACATCACGCGGCACATGGATTTTTTTTAATGTTATAAGTAGCCATTGCAAAGACCTTTAAAATGAGTCCAAACTTATTTATGAAATTTTTCATGCATTCATGGTAAGAAGTTATCAACAGAAAAAATCTTCCCTTATAACCCCATTTGGCTGTCTAGCATTGGTAACCCTCACTCACCAGTGCAACACCAGGTTGAATGAAGATCCTTCAGCCTGCAAATTGTACTTGGTTTATATTAACTAAAATGGTGAAAAATATCAAATTCAGCTAAACTTGAGTTAGATTGAGCAATGAATAATAATATGCTTTAAAAAATTACTTTTCAAAGACAACACTTCTAAAGAATCCAGTGTCTCCAATGTTATACATGTACCTACAATGAATTTCTAACTTTATTTTCAGATAGTGAAGAAATAATTTTAAAACATTTTTTAGTGTACCGGTACCTACATAAAAAAATTAAATTTTCAAAATTATTTATTCTGTCAAATTTTTTTTTTAAAGGCCTCCCACACAAAAAAAAAAAAAAACAAAAAAAAAAAATAATTAAAAAAAACCAGGGAATGGTTTCATGTCAATGATCAGGGCCCCAACCTTAATGCCTCTGATGGTGGCCTACACCAACTCCGAAGGTCACTGAGCTGTGAGGCGAGCGAGGAGCGGGCCCACGTCGAACTTTTCTCTGACTGCTGTTAGGATGCTAGCTGCATTGCTTCTCTGCACGGCCAAACCCAACCTTTGCTCCAATCATAGAGTCTCTATGTTCGCCGGACAATTCCGTAATGCAACGGCCAATCTCTGATATTAAAGGACCAGTCGTTTCACCATATGTGCCCGTCATTTCTAATGCGATTGGCTCAAAACGATACCGAGCTGCCAACGCCGCGTATTTATGTCTCTTGCTATCCTCCGCCGCACGAGCTGCGAACCCGCAAACTGTCAATTGATTCATGCATTGTCTCCAACTTTACACAAGTGTGCAAAATTTATGATTGATTGGACAGGAAGAAGTAAATACTGATCATAAGATTTGTAGCAGACAAAATTATTTTTGTCAATTTTTTTTAATATTGGACAAGGTTGTTGTCAATGCTCTATGGCATGTCCATGGATATGATAATATCGCATCAATAATATGGTAATGTATGGATAAGGTAATATATCAATAAAGAAAAGAAGGTAAATTCACAGAAAATGTCTTTTATTCTACATTTACATCATCTACAAAGGAAGAGGAGAACTTCAGAGTACTGTTAGTAATGGATAAGTACACTCTGAATGCTTCAAATGTTTTAAAATGAAGTTTTATTCCAAGTGTCCCTTCTTACCCCGTTCCCAGATTAATTTGGGAGGCTTTTATATTGCATCTAGCACCTTACAAATAGCATACTGTAAAAGGGGGTTACTTAGACTCCCAGGGTAACTTAGGCCACTTTTATTTTTTTTAACAAAACCCCCAAAACTCAAAAACTATTTGACATAGAAAAATTTTGTCAATGGGCATTAAGGGGATCGACCTAGCTAAAATTTTCAATTTTGGCGTTTTTCGGTTTTTTGGCTCATCTGAAAGCTAGAATTCTGCTCTTTCCAATGGTACCACTGCCATCTCTCTACGTGAATATTTACGTTCATGACGTCTCTTTAAAGGGAAGCGGGTGAGAGAGTTCTTTAACTAATTGGATATAAAGTAATTAGCTGCTGAAATCTTTGAATATAGTTTCTTGTGTCTCGATGTTGTAGGATGATATTTGTGGGAGGAGATAGATTTTCTGAAGTACCCCTTTTTAGCCTTTTTCTATGAATTTCACGTTTTCTATCAATTTTTTCGAAAAATACATAGAAGCAAAATGTTTTTCTTTTTACATTTTACGTATGTATGTGAAGTTTCATGACAATCGGATAATAACTGTAGAAGTTTTCAAAATGCTAGGTCGATCCCCTTAAAGGTCTAATACTGAGGCTACCGTCAAACGGGGTAAAAAGGGACGGTTTGGAGCGTTTTTTGTTAATAACTTCTTACCATGAAACTTTTCAGAAACAAGTTTAGGCTCATTTTATAGCTCTTTGCAAGGGCTATCAAATGGCATCTTCAAAAAAATTCCATATGCTATTTGTAAGGCGCTAGATGCAATATAAAAGGCTCCTGAATTAATCTTGAAATGGGGTAAAAAGGGACACTTGAAATAAAGCTCAATTTCAAACATCTGAAGCATGCAGAGTGTACTTACCTATTACTAACAGTACTCTGAAGTCCTCCTCTTTCATTGTAGATGATGTAGATGTAAAATAAATGACATTTTCTGTGATTATTACTTGTTTTTCCTTTTCCATTAATTACCGTATTATTAATGTGATATTACTGTATCCATGGACATGCCATTGAGCATTGACAACGACCTTGTCCACTGCAAGCTTCATATCAGCAGCCATGTAGCATTTCTTCTGTGTCTGTAAGCTTACAGGATGGTTTGTAATTTTGCACAATTTTAATCGAGTCTAATGATTTCACTATGACAAAAAATATTGTGAAAAACATACCTGAAACAGAAAATAATGTTTTAGTGACAACCATCATATATTTTGAAGAAATAAATCATAGTTTAGGTCGATTAGGTACTTTTCACTCTACGATGCCCGGTGCACAATTCTATGTATAGCATTCTATGTACAATTTTGTGATGACTGACGACGCACTAATTTTTTGATAAGTGATTTTTTTTGCCAAGCGAGGTAAATGTAATCAAAATTCTTTGTTGTTAATCAATTTTTTTGTTAACTGGAGCCTTTGCTAACTGAGGTTCTACTATAAATGCATTTTTAAGGGTGTCCCTAATTACCCTGGGGGAGGTGTCGCGCAGGATTCTGTCGCACAGGCAAATTCTGTCAATTACGTTTTCAAGCCAACACCTGGCTGCAAATTTTATGCAATTAAAATTTTTCAATATGGCAAATCTTTTTTTTTTCTTTGTTCCAGACCTTAGCAGAGGTACTTTTCCAAAATTGCACTTTCACACTTTTTCTTCAGCAATTTTTTAGAGATAGTAAATGTTTGATTTCTTGACTAGCTTTATACATAATAGATAGTAAAAATGTTGAAGTTTACGCCATTATTTTTAGTTTTGCAATATTTTGATTAGTTTAGCTACTACAACATTTCTACGAAATGTGGGATGCCAGTCCCTATTTACCCCGCCCATCCCTTTTTACCCCGTTTGACGGTACATAACACAATAGAAAGATAAAAAATTTATGCATATCTAATAGGTTAAAAAATTGAAAATGTGACCCACGAAAAAGAGCTATTATTTAAAGCCTGTATTAGAACCCCCTCCAATTTTTTATTTTTAAGTAAAATAACTCCAGGTTTTGGTGCATTGTAGTAGAACTCTTTTAGTTACATATGCAAATGACAAATTTGAGTGTCATAGTTTGCAAATAGGGGAGCTGCCCCCGAATGGGGGAACTTAGACCACCTAATGTCAGCCCTGACGGGGTAACATAGACCAGCTTGAAAATTAATTTAAAATTACCATATATAACACATTTTATGTTTGATACACCTATTAATGTTTTTTCTTCATGTTTCAGACTCTACAGTCTTATATATGGTAATTTTAACTTAATTTCCAAACTGGTTAATATTACTCCATCATAGCTGACATTAGGTGGTCTAAGTTCCCCCATTTGGGTGCAGCGCCCCCATTTGCAAACTATGACACTTTCCTCAAATTTGTCCTTTGAATATGTAACTAAAAGAGTTCTACTACAATGCAGCAAAACCTGGAGTTATTTTACCAACAAATATATTGATTTTACCACCCAGTCTAAGATACCCCAAGAGCTGGGGTAACAAAGACCATCATTTTTTTTGAATAACATCAAAACTATGAGAGGCAGGAGCCAGCAATTTATTGTGAGAGTATAGACCTGTATTTTGCATGTTTCAATTTAAGTTTAATTTAGCTAGTAAAAAATGGCATCATTAAAAAAAAGTAGACTAAGTTACCCCATTTTATGGTATGGAATTTTTTTGGAGATGCCATATGATCCCTTGCACAGACCTTTGAAATGAGCTCAAATTTATTTATGAAGTTTTTCATGGTAAGAAGTTATTAATGAAAAACGCTGAAAATTGTCCGTTGTTACCCCATTCATACCATGCTATTTCAATGATCTTGCTTACAATGATTATGTTAAAATTTCCTTTGATTTTTCTTAGAATATAATATAGTGTTTGCAACCAAGTCTGAGTATGTGACTACCGGTTGTAGTTCATCTTGGCATAAGAATGCATAAAATATATATCATCTCAGTATACTTGGTTGAAAAATTTCTACTCTTCAGTGAACAAATGTGGATTCAGAACTATCTGAACTTTGTCTATTTTACTTTTAGCATTCATCTATTCTACTTTTAGCTGCATTTAAGTTCATTAGTTATGTTATACAAACCTGCTATTACATGAACTTATTTTGTTTTCTTTTCAGGTTTTCATCCCTTAAACTTCTATAATTTTCAGAGCTTTTATTCCTAAGAACAGAACAATGTCCATATTTAGACCTTGCTATTGCTTAGGATCTTCAAGAAGATTGTCTACATTTGTATCATCATTGAATTTCTCTACTCCTAGAATCAGGTTAATATCTTCAACCCCTGGAATACATTGCACCACATTTTGTTTACAATCTACTCAGAAATCTCTTTTGCAAAGAACCTGTGTTCCATTCAATGGTACAAATTTATTTCACACACATCAAAAAGAAACAGAAAGTAAGCATGTTGTAGAAAATGTCTTCAAAAGCCACTCCAAGACTAATAAGGGGAGAACACAAACGTTGTTATCATTTCTTGCTGGCCTGTCTTTAGGAGCTTGTGTGAAGCTAGCATATGATTTTTGGATGGTTTATACAGACTCAAAAATTAATTCTAATTTTGAAGATCAAGTATCAGTATTACCAAGAGTCCTTGCATCTAAGGGATTCAATCAAGCACCAGATCTAGATGATTCCAACAGCAATCCTATTGAGCATGATGACAACTATAAAACTGGAGGGAATTTCAATGAAGGTGGATCAAACAAAGGCCCTCCCAAACACAGAGATCGCTTTAACTTCATAGCTGATGTTGTTGAGAGACTCTCACCAAGTGTGGCTTTCATCGAAATACTGGATCTGCGTAGGTGAGTTTCCACTTTTTTTTTTCCCTTGGCATTAATATTTATACTGCTTATTTATTCCCAAAATGTTAGCAATATAATGGTATTTTCTCGAAGCTTTATCATTTTGGCATCCAATTTTGCCATTTTCATTATATTTAACTTAGAACTTGAAATGGAAACTATATAGGGACAATTGTACAACTTTAGCTTTATCTTCTAGCAAATTTGTTCACAGCAGAAAGCTGTTTTCTACTTTTATATCATGGAGATTGATTCAATACAGTTGATGATATGATAAAAATATCACCAAGCATTACATGAAAGTAATGCTGCATTATTTAATATCTTAGGTGATCAATGAAATGAACCTGGCATTTTCCCTTGCTGTAATCCTAAGGTGAAAAAGCAGAAGACCTAATTAGTCATTAGTCATTCCATTAACAACTGTACTTATCCTTAATGTATTATTATCTCTCTTTTTGTTGTTTACATTAGATACGGTATATACAATTTTGATGAAAATTAAACAAATTTTGTACAAATAACCTCATTTGTTTGGGTTTGCAGAATTTTGGAATTGAATACTGAAGAATGGCAATTTGCAAGCACAGTACATTGCATTATTTTCAAAGGATTTGACTGTTTTCTATAGTTTTTAATATCTAGACTAGATATCTTATTGTTTTACTGTAAATTTAATTTTGCTGCCTTGTGTTGAAACTAAAATTTATGTAAATTTTTATCTTTATACAGTTATTTTTATTACCTGCAAGATCATCAGCAAAAGAGCTTGGCAAATTTCAAGAGATTTAGTGATACAAGATAAATTTTGCAGACGTGACGCAAGTGGCCAACCGGTCTCAGTGAACAATGGCTCTGGTGTTGTGGTGGACAGTTGTGGCCTCATCTTGACCAATGCACACGTCGTTACAGGCTCCAACAAGCCAAGATCCAGCAAGATCATGGTGAGTAACATCTGCTGCCATGCTCTGCTGATATTTTAAATGATATTTTGAGAGTATTTTGTCTGGAATTGCTCTCTATTTTTATGTGCATATGGTAGCAATCCACACATTAACCTCTTACACCCTATTTGTTCATTGTTATTCAAAACAATTTTTTTTATTATGATATATGCTAATCAACCTGGTTCCAATGCATCAAACAGCCTGTGTGAGGATCCTTTTGTTCTTATATCATTAGTCTGCTTATATTGCAAGTTCACAAGGAATTTAAAAGCGAAGAAAATGCCAAGAAAATTCACCATATCGATATTGAAAACGTTTCGGAGTCCAGCTCCATCATCAGTTTGACTAAACTAAAAATGAAAAAAATCACTTTAAAATGGTGAGTTTAATGGTTTAAATTTAAAATTTTTAATCCTTTTGTTCTGGTTTAGTACCTGCAGTTGATAGTCTGAGTACAATTTAGTGATGCATATGAATAGAATGGTTAACATTGGTATGATAATTGACACAAAGGGTCACAAATGATGCTAATTTTATTATCAAACTATTTGAGATACGGTACATGACTTGTGAAGATAAATTGTGACTCAAGTTCACTGTTATGGAAAGTGAACAACTTGAGCAGATTTTGTCAATGGCATCTATACTATCAAACGAGCAAATAAGCAGGTTGCACTTGAAAATAGGGCTATTGAATTATGTACTAATGATTTTCCACCTTTTTGAGAATGAATCAGGATAAAATTAACAAATTTAGGAGCAAAAATATGCAAAGTATACCGTAGTGCATTGTAATATCAATCAATCAATTTTCACACTCCATGTATAGTACTATATCCACTATACACAACTTCATGTCTAGATTTGATTGTAAAAGTCATGCTGCCTTGTGTGAGTTTGGGTTCCTTTGTGGTACAATAATGTGTATGGCACAGTTTTTTTTAATTTAGACAAACACCTCATCAATGCATCGGTCTTCAACTTCTCCTGCACTTGTTGAGGGAGTTCAAAATTTGGCTCTTACATATTATCATCGTTAAATTATTACCGTAGGTAAAATCAATTTGAACAAAGTTCTGGGATACATTGTTAATCAAATTGCTTGTTTTCATATGTAATCCAAAACATACTTGTGCATTTTTGTATGCACAGGTTCGGCTGGTTGATGGGCGTCAACTAGAATGCGTACTGGAGGATGTGGACCCATACTGTGACCTGGCTCTGCTCCGGGTTAATGCAGTGAGATTATAATTATTATATTTCATTATATTATTATTTTTGTAATTTATATTATGTGATCATGAATTTAAAAATGAAAATCCAACAATTATTTTGAGCATGGCAGTGAAGTGTAATGCACTCTTTGCCATCAAAAGTTAATTTTACGCAAACTACTATTTTCACCGATTCATTTTTATATTTTTCATAAATATTTCTTGCAATGAAATTGCATTCTGCAAGATATGAGAAAGCAATCAATGTCTGTTTTAAATGATGTCTAATGATTTAATGTTTGGTAATCTTTTTAATGCCTTTTGATGTTTAATGCCTGTTTTAATTGATGCCTAACTTTTGGCAAAATATTCAGAAATGCTCAATGTTCTGTTCTTAAGCTCTGAGCAAATTTTTGTTCCAGAAAAATTTAGTAGGTAGATTAGTTAATTGTGTAGCTTGTTAGATACTATTTTTGAATGATGGAAGTGCCTCATATTTCTATGAATGCTATACCTATATAACTTATAAGTCTTGTCTTGCAACTTTGAATTTAACATTGAATATCAACTGTACCAGTACATAATTTGTTCAATTCTGGCTTTTTAAGACTTTTTTTAAGGACTTAATTGGTGTCTGTAAAGAAAATCGACTTAGGAACACATGAATTTTTAGAAATATTCTAGAGGATGTAATATTTTATTCATCTTGTTTTTAGTGTATGCTGTTGTTTTTATTCATGGATATTACTCCTATCGTTACTCTTCATTGCTCTGTTGTTACGGTACTACTGATTCTTTACATCGCTGCTGACATGACATTGCTGCTGACATGACATTGCTGCTGACATGACATTGCTGCTGACATGACATTGCTGCTGACTCAGNTCATCCAGACTGACGCCGCCATCACCGTACGTATTGCCTGCGTCGTCATCCAGACTGACGCCGCCATCACCGTACGTATTGCCTGCGTCGTCATCCAGACTGACGCCGCCATCACCGTACGTATTGCCTGCGTCGTCATCCAGACTGACGCCGCCATCACCGTACGTATTGCCTGCGTCGTCATCCAGACTGACGCCGCCATCACCGTACATATTTAGTTCAATCGTAAATTCATTTATGTCATCAGCAATAAGTAAATAAAATGAATTTATAATATTTCTAAATACCGCAAAATAAAAAATAAGCTTTATGGGTACAATCCATAAAGGCCTGAATTCATCATCAGATATATATTTGTATTGCTTGTAGCAAAAGAAAACGACAATTTATCCTTGACTTCTAGTTTATTCCTCTTGATGGAAAGCTGGATAATCAACTTCCTCAAACTAATAGTCCTGTGAAAGAATAAATAATTGATAGCTAATATTACAATTGAGCGCAGCAAATGCAAGAGACCATTTGTTTGTTAGTCATCCTAGCGAATATGTGGGACTACTTAAGAGGCACCAGCGGTCGAGAGTGAAGGTATACTCGTCTCGCTTCCTCCACCTTTCCCTTCTGCTTTGTTATTTCTTTGCATTTCCCGTAATGTTGTGGCTGTCTTTATTAGGAAGCATTTCCGTGAGCTCCTTTATTTTTGCATTTCATGTGGTGTATCTGCAGCGAATCTAGATAAAAGTATAATGATTCAACAAAGCCATCATTCTCGTAAGTGTTGTCGGAAAGAACTGATGTCGTAAAACTCTAAGTACATATCAAATGCATTGTTTTCAAGTAGGATTGTAGTATTTATGTACTATATTTAAATACTTAAAATCGAAGAATTTACCAGTATTCATGTTGAATGACATTGTTTTACGTACACTTGTATTGAAGTACCACCTAGAACTAAATTTAGATGGATAAATGGAATTCATGTTGTTCAGACATTGTTTTGTCATGTCAAACGCCTCCGCTACCACGGCATTACCGTGACACTTCTTACTTGATTGCTGATATAAGTGATGGCTTTGTTAGTAATGACATACTGCATTGCCTGGTAACTAAGATGCGTTGCCTGGTAACTAATGCGTTGCCTGGTAACTAAGGCGTTGCCTGGTAACTAAGATGCGTTGCCTGGTAACTAAGATGTGTTGCCTGGTAACTAAGATGCGTTGCCTGGTAACTAATGCATTACCTGGTAACTAATGCGTTACCTGGTAACAAATGCGTTACCTGGTAACTAATGCATTACCTGGTAACTAATGCTTTACCTGGTAACTAATGCTTTACCTGTAACTAATGCGTTACCTGGTAACTAATGCGTTACCTGGTAACTAATCCATTACCTGGTAACTAATGCGTTACCTGGTAACTAATCCATTACCTGGTAACTAATGCGTTACCTGGTAACTAATGTGTTACCTGGTAACTAATGCGTTACCTGGTAACTAATGCCTTACCTGGTAACTAATGTGTTACCTGGTAACTAATGCGTTACCTGGTAACTAATGCGTTACCTGGTAACTAATGCGTTACCTGGTAACTAATACGTTACCATTTGGTGCGCGCAGTTCGGCAACAGCGGGGGACCGCTCGTCAACCTGGACGGTGACGTCATCGGCATCAACTCGATGAAGGCGGCGGCCGGCATCTCCTTCGCCATTCCCGTGGACGTGGCCATGGAGTTCCTAGTCAAGGCCAAGGAGAGGATGAAGCTCAGTGAGTCAAGGCGCTCATTATTTATCATCATGCCCATTGGGAACGTTTTAAGTTCGAAGTTATCTGCTATGAACATTCAATGAATATTCGTAGAAGATCGTTGTATGAATAAAACGTCCAAGCTTTATTATGGTTATAAGACTACTGGTTTCCTTTGAAGATGAGTTCAGAACGAACTAGCTGTAGGGAAAGAATCTTTGTGAAATAATTGAAAAATTGCAAATTATCACGTGCCTATTGACCTTAACAAAATTAGAAACAAATCCGCAAAATAATATCCATTAAATGGTAAGAGGAAGCCAATATTATTATAATTCTTGTTGCCTTCTTCCTCTCCAATAGGGTAGTAAAGAAATAGTCTCTTCGTTGAAACTCTGTACTGAACATAAGCTACATTTCGATGTTTTTAAACGACTTCTAAAAGGATTTCATGTTTAGTTTATGGTGCTTAGCTCTATAACTTGAAGCATTAATCATTATATGTACACTTGTGATTATTATCACGGCTCATGTATGCTCCGCGGTTGCAGAGCGCAGCAGTTCTGCAGAAAGTTTATCAAAGCGCCGTCGGTTCCTGGGCATCACTATGCTGAGCCTGTCCCCCGACATCATCAACGAACTGCAGTCCCGAGTGTCCGCGCCGCTGCCCCACGACTTGTCGCACGGCGTGCTCGTCTGGCGCGTCGTGATAGGCTCTCCTGCCTACCAGTGAGTCGTGCTGTTATCTTATCACCAGTCGTGCTGTTGTCTTATTACCAGTCGTGCTGTTATCTTATCACCAGTCGTGCTGTGCTCTTATCTTATCACCAGTCGTGCTGTTATCTTATCACCAGTCGTGCTGTGCTCTTATCTTATCACCAGTCGTGCTGTTATCTTATCACCAGTCGTGCTGTGCTCTTATCTTATCACCAGTCGTGCTGTTATCTTATCACCAGTCGTGCTGTGCTCTTATCTTATCACCAGTCGTGCTGTTATCTTATCACCAGTCGTGCTGTGCTCTTATCTTATCACCAGTCGTGCTGTTATCTGATCACCAGTCGTGCTGTTATCTGATCACCAGTCGTGCTGTGCTGTTGTCTTATCACCTGTTGTGCCGTGCTGTTATCACCTGCTGTGCCGTGCTGTTATCACCTGTGGTGCTGTGCCGTGCTGTTATCACCTGCTGTGCCGTGCTGTTATCACCAGTGGTGCTGTGCTGTTGTCTTATCACCTGCTGTGCCGTGCTGTTATCACCTGCTGTGCCGTGCTGTTATCACCTGTGGTGCTGTGCTGTTATCACCTGTCGCTTTGCTGTTGTCTCATCACCTGTGGTGCTGTGCTGTTGTCTTATCACCAGTTATCCTGGAAACCTTGGGTTGTGTGGTACTGTGCTAGCTATCATCCTGCCAGCCAAAATTATTGTAGGACTCATTGGTATTATTTATCGTGTCGGCCAATTATTTTATTTTAAGGCCCAGCCGTGCGTATGAGGCGTAGTATCATTCTCTCTACAGTCAGGCCGTGTGAGTCGCGCGTTTCAAATGCACTTTTGTATAATATTATTTTACGTGGTAATCTCAACGTTGAAACAATGTGCTTTTTATCTCTCCTCTGCCTTCCCGTGTTGTCTGACGGTCTACCTTGGTTTTCTCCTGGTTTCCGACGATAACTTTGTCTCCTACCTTCAAGCACCTTATCTTAAGAGCAGCACTGCTCACTAATCTTAAGAGCAGCACTCCTCACTCCTCTTAAGAGCAGCACTCCTCACTCCTCTTAAGAGCAGCACTCCTCACTACTCTTAAGAGCAGCACTCCTCACATCAAGTCTCACAACTCTCACAGTGCGGGTCTGCAGCCCGGCGATGTGATCACGCAGATCAACGGCCACGACATCATCTCGGCACGCGACGTCTACGCGCTGCTCGAGCGGCCCGTCGACCTCACCATGATCGTGCACCGCGGCAACCACAGGTCCGCCCTCGCATTAATATCAATTATATACAACATTCCCTTGCAAGGAAATGTTTCAACCCCAAAAAAATCCGACATGTAATCAAGAAAATTAAAAAAAAAAATCGATATTCGTTTTAATAGAAATTAAATTCGTATTTTCGATGATCTGTGGAGCACATATTGACTAAGCTACTCTCGGCTGCTAGTGGCTGCACTAACGTTAAGCAGCAGCAATTTCTGACTAGCTGTTAACGGCTGACTTGATACTTCATTAGAACTGAAAGACGGATAGTATTTGGTGATTATAGTATAGAAGATAACAATAATATCTAGTTTAACTGATGGAGGTACCATGTTTCTTTCCGCGATACTTAGAAAAATCGTCTATAAATTTATGCTGAAATACTTGCGTTTTGTTTCCATTTGTAATAACGCATCTTTGTCAATTTTGTTCATAATGTACCCATGTTCTTTGTTTGTTGTACTCACCAAATAGCGCAGCCTAGATCCGATTGAACTATTTTCAGTACCTGCTTAACTTTTTATAATAAATTGAGACTAAAATTTGATATTGCAAGAAGTGGTAAACTGAGTCATGAAGCAGATCATCTTGTTCAACATTTGGGTCGAGACATCGTTGAAGCAGAAAACTTTTATTTTCTCCAAGATTCGTTATCTCAACCGTACTCTTCATGTCAGTTCTTCCATAGATTAATTGTTTAATTTTGGATCCATTTATTAATCTCGTAATTATATTGACAGGTACACCGTGACGGTGAGGCCAGAGGAGTGACGTGTTGACAGGTACACCGTGACGGTGAGGCCGGAGGAGTGACGTGTTGACAGGTACACCGTGACGGTGAGGCCGGAGGAGTGACGTGTCATCTCTGCACAGCGCGGCTGAGCTCTACACTACGCTGCGCCTGCCGTGAAATATCGCTTTAAGAGACTGAGATTCATTGGCGTGATTAGACGGCCTAAGTCTGTGATTGCGATTTTTTAAATGAAACTCTCTAGCGGAAAGATGTTATGAACATTTTTGTGCGAGTTGTAGTTTTTCAAGTTTCTACAATTTTTCTTTAGCTAAGGAGTCGTTCGTATTTAATTGCCTTTCTTTGACTTGCTCACCCCTCGTCAGGAAGTCATCTACAATAGAGATAATTATTTATTGCGAATATATAACATACGAGTGCGCTAGTTGTAATACCAAACGTCAAATTAGTGAGAATAATTTTGAATTATTATGCAACTTGTATAATTACAGATTATATTTATGAGATCAATTTCTGAATTTTTTTTCTTTACACGCATGATATTGGCGCAACTTTTCTCGAAAATAGTAGAGTTATTAGATTGAAATATCCCTGCCTGAACGCTTCTCGGCTCGAGAAGCCAGCTTCCTTTATTCGCTGCTCATCAATGCTACTTTTTTGTCTCCTTGTAAGCGAATTCTGGGTCATCTTCGCTGGCTCTTTTTGGATATTGGGGGAAATCATGAATCGGAATACTTTGTGGGACGGTGATCAGTGTGATGAAGATAGAACTGAAGGGCCACGAACGTTTCATCTATAACATAAAATCAACAGAAGTGGCCGCAGCATCTCAGGCATTGACAGTGAACAGGTGATAATTGCTTAAAATTCAAGTCACAGCTCCCGGAATGGGTTTCGGTGTTCTACGACCGCTTTTCACTTCGAATTTGGATCTTGATGACCAAGTGCAATAATCCGAAAAGCATGCGTATGTAAAATGTAAGGTCACATTCTTGCAAGATAGTAATTATTAATCCAGTTTAAAAAGTTAGTGGCAGAAAATTTAAAGCATAATTATACATGAACAAGTCAACACAAAACTCTACTCCTACACCTTTCTTCAATTTCCGACCCAACAAGTTCCAGGATAAGTTAGCGACAAGCAGGGGCTACGGCAGTAATGGGACTACGCAATGGATCAGTCGAACATCTTATTTCAACCTGAGATTTATCAGCAACTCTCTATACCCGACGTCCACAAGCAGAATGAATGGGGCAGGGCAGTGAAGGAATGAGCGTCGGGCGTAGCATCGTGACACGCTAACAAAAATGTGTTCCGCAATCGTAACAGTAAAGTCGGCTGTGAAAATATGCCTCAAATTCAAACTTTTTCTCATATGATAAATTCAATCTAAGTGCAGAACTAGCACAGAAGGGAACAGAAAATACTCACTGAAACACGATTTTATCGTCGAAAAACATCAACACTTCATTGGTAACTTTAATAACGAAAAATATTTATTCCTTTAAATAACATCTCATACCAATTAAATAAATGTAAACAATTAACGAAAACAAAACGCAAAGTCTTCATGGCAACATTGCACTGATGTTGGTAGAACATCGATTGTATTCCACCATAGAATAATAGGCCCCCCTAACGACCAGAGTTTAGCCGCCCTACGTAGCAGAGGGTCTCAGCGACTCGGAGCTGATGTCGTCGCTGCACGAGGAGCAGCGCGACGAACTGCGCACGATGACCGTGTCCTCACCGCCGTGGCTGCTGTGCACGTGCGCCGCCAGCTCGTCCTGTTTTGAGAATTCCCGACTGCAGCACTGGCAAGTCCACGAGCTCGTTTCTTCAGATGGTGAAGAAATGTTCGATGTGACATTCGTACTCGCCTCCGCTTGAGTTTGTTCCAATTCATCTTTACTACGAAGAGTTCCTGTTTCTTCTTCATTCTCACGCTGATTTTTCTTACAATTTTGTTCTTTATAAGGTTGGTGGACCTTCAGAGAATGCTTCTTCACATCGCATTTCCTGGTGAACGCCGAACCACAGTCGCCACACAGGTACGGGCGCGCGCCCTCATGCGTGAGCTCGTGGAGAGCTCTACTCTCTGTGCTGCGACAGCACCGGCCACAAGTCTGACACCTCACTTCACTGTCATCGCCCGCGTCATGTGCAGCAGCCAATGGTACGTCATTGCACTGGGCGCGGCCTTTGTCACATAATTTACTCTTTGATTGTTTCTCGCTTTGTGAGGATTCAGGCGAAGCGTTAACACGATTACACTGATCGCTCCCATCTTTCAGAGTGCTGGTGAATTGTCGTTCGCCCGGTTCATTTCGATTTGCGTTAGATCCCTTGCATCTTACATCGTTCGGTTTCTCTCGTTTCGATTCCTCCATATTCGATGAAGGACCTTGCCTAACCATTGCTTGACACTCTGAACATTTGCCGGCAGCAACTTCAGCATGGGATAATACATGATTTTCAAGTTCCGCTTTGAAAAAGAATCTCTGATGACAGTGATGACAATCGTAAGGTTTCGAGTTAAGGCCGTGACTGAGCATGTGCTGCTGTAGTCTGCTTGCCACGGTGAAGACGGTCGAGCAAAGGTAACAAGTGTAGCTGCTGCAGCCCTCGAAAGTGTGTTCGATTAAGTGACATTGTAGCCTCAGTGGGGACTTGAACGTAGCTCTACAAATGTGGCACTCATGATTCGAACCTTCAGTCTGAAGGTGCAAGGCAACGTGCGCTTCCACTTCACCTTCTGTAGGGAAACTTTCTTGACATTTAATGCACTGATACGTCTTAGGAACCTCTAGAGAAATCTTATTCTGGAGCGTGTTCAAAGGTTCGCTGAAGAGCGAAGATGTCTTTGAAGAGCACGAGTGATTTTCAACCTCTTCCAGGGTTTCGAGTTTTATCTGACACAAGGGACACTTCAACGAATTTTTTTTTATATCAAGAGAGTCAATATTATTGTTTAACATTTCTTTAGAATTACTATGAGCCTTAAACATTTCTTCGTAGTTCATCATACTATGGCCGAATGAACCGTGGAAGTTAGAGTGAGCTTTAAGCTCGACGTTAGTGAGCATCGTCTGCTTGCAAACAACGCATGGCTGAGGTAGCGGTCCTGGGCAATGTTCAGTTTGGTGTGCAAGCACCTCCTGTGAGTTAACGAGCGAGGAGCCGCACACTGAGCACACAATGGAGCCGGAGAGAGCCTTGATGTGGCTCAGTTTGTGCTGAGCCAGTGTCGCGGCAGAGGGACACAACTCGTCACAAATGTTGCACTTGTGCCGGCCACCGCTGCTCTGGTGGAGCTTCACATGAGCTTCCAACTCAGCTCTGGACTTGCATGCCTCGTTACAATAAGCGCAATACAGACTCACAGTTGCTGCAGCCACCTTCAATCCACCGGACTTACTACCGTGAATCTTTTGGTAATGACTGATGATCGAAGATTCGTCAGGGAAGTTAATGTTGCATAATTCGCACCTCAAATCTTCTTCACTCGGACTCGCGTTGTATCTCTGGGAGCGTGCCAAATTCCCGTTAATCTCGGAGTTATGCTGGGCTTGCATGTGCTTGTCGAGCAGGAACTCGACATGGAAGGCTTCGTCGCAGAGCGTGCACTGGAACTGCTTCTGATGCGTGGACAAATGCGTTGTGAATTCGGCCTCGGAGGCGAGGGTGAGATGGCACAGCAAACATCGGTACCCCGCACCGCTCTTGCTGCCCTCGCCGTGCATGTGCACAGTGCGCACGTGTTGCTCGAACTCACTGCGCGAGTGAAACGCCACAGAACATTTGGTGCACTTCTTCACTTTGCATTCATTGCTATGTTTCACTGCAAAGTGAACCTGAATCGCCACTTTAGAGTCGAAAACATCTTTGCAGAGGGAGCATCTGTAAAATAAATGAGCGTGAATATCCATGAGGTGCTTCTGAAGTTCATCGGGTTTACTGAAGAGCTTAAAGCAGGCCTGACAACCGTACTCAGTCGACACGGATAAGAGGTGAGAGGCAAGGTGATTCTCCAAGCCTACATCAGACGGCAGGACGAGCTTGCACTCCGGACAGACGGTTGTAGGAGACAAATAGCCATCCAAATGCGTCTTCAAATGGTTCCTGAATGACTCGAAATCATTAAACGGAGCATTGCACTGATTACACAACAAGGTCGTCGAAGACGAATCCATCACTGAGCTCGTTTCAATTTTAGATTTCTTGCTAAGATCCGTGGGTAAATCCACTGGAGACTGCGGTCTTTTGCCGAGCTTGCCGTTTGCGACGAGAAGTGCAGCGGCAGGTGAGGCGTTGGTGTGGACGAGCTTGATGTGTTCGGTCAGGGCCCCTGGGTTACTAAAGGGCAGGAGACATTGAGCGCAGAAGACGCCCTCGGCTGTGCGAGCGAGCAGGTCCGTGAAGCTGTGCGAGGTGACGACATGTCGCTGTAGCGCCGACACGTCAGGCACCCGCGCCCCGCACAGCTCGCAGCTCAGCGGCCGCGCCACGCTGCCGCCGCTCAGCTCTTGCAGATCTCCGTTTATGCCAAAGCCTGCAAATATGACACCTGAGAAAACCTCAACTCGATGCAGTTCCCACGCGACCAGAACTAATAAACTCAGATTAAATTTTAGCACTGCAACGTTCATAAACAGGTTCACACCTGATGCATGTCAAAAGTGCATGTTCTAGAACCAAGAAATTATAAGCAACAATTCATTAAATTTGCAAGCTTATCCCGTAAAGCTGAAAGACATGACAGTCTGACTCCAGCACTTGTTGAACAGGTTTGGATTAAAAGTTAAATGACTATTAATTAAACGATTATGGTGTCTGTGTCACAGTACCTTCTTTCCTTGCCATGAAAGTGAAATGTTGGCTGAATGGCAGCAAAATTCAATGAGCTAAATTGTAGGTTGAAGCTATTGGATTAAAGATCGAGAAACACATGATTTAAGCAAAAAAAAATACTAGAAAACGGTACGCGCACCATCATAAAGGCAAACATTAATTTTTATAAACCAGCAAAAGTTTCATGTAGTAATAACGCGCGTCACTCACCGTGCATGGAGTGAATGTGGAGCTCAAGCGCGTGCACGCTGCTGAAGCCGTCCTGGGCGCAGTAGCAGCAGGCGAGCTTGTTGGCGCCCATGAAGGCCAGCAGGTGGTGGTGCGCCAGCGCCGACGCCCCCAGGGACAAAGGGCCTCCTGCCATGCAGCTGAGGGCGCTCATCACGCTGGGGTTGGTGAGCAGTGAGGATGAGTGAGCGCCCACATCCAACACTCGCGAGCCGAGACTGCGAGGCGAGAGCACGCCGGGGGGGCGTGGTGACGGAGTTGATGTGGCAGACGGCAACCCGCCACCACTGAACAGATAAAATTTACCACGAATGTAGCAGGAAGAGACTAGAATATATTGAGAATGGAGAATGAATAGTAAAAATTACAGAAATAGGAAGAGCGCACCGAAAACTTTGCTTCAGACCGGGCCATCGATAAGGAGATCTGATTTTCATGGGAATCACAGTAAAATTTCTACACGATTAATGATCTAGATCAGGGGTCACTACATTACAATTGATCACACGCCTAACGGCGGCACTTACACAGGCGTTATGAGAAGCACTCGAAACAAGCCGTTATGAAACCTCTTATAGATTATAATGTTTTAATGCTTTGACGTCACCGTTCGATGCCCCGCGCACATAATTATTTATTATTATGATGATGATATAACTTATTAGTCCCTTCAAAAAATCTCCATGACTTCTCGATCATGGAAAACTCCAATTATATATTAAACCTTAAAAATATTCTGAACCGCGTTTGTCGAGCAAGAGAGACCCACCCAGAGCCGGACGACGTGCCGGCGGAAGCGGGGCGGTTGTTCACTGGCGACGGCCGCTCCCCCGACGCCGACGAGACCTCAGCGTGGTACCGACACATGTGCTGCTGCTCACAACAGACAATCTCTGAGCACAAGCAGAGAGCGACCAATAATCCTGACTACATAGCTTGCAACTATGAGCTCAGATCGCAACACCATTGATCGCACGAGAAGTTTGTGTCTAATAACACATGAATTTATATAATGAAAAGTAACGGGTTTTATTTCTACGTAGACAATATTTGTTGTAAGTTGTAACAACTGAAAACCCAAGCCAAATGCAGTTCAAAAACCTTTTTGGGATAACCTCTTTACCCTTCATTTCCACCCTTTGCCGCCACTGTTTTCGTCCCTCACTGTCATAAACCAGGACAAGTTTCGTCGCACTCGTCTCACCTTTCCCCAATAATTGGCCTAACACGAGCAACAATAAACGTATCGCACACACCCAGACGCTGACGTCGCGTTGACCTGCTGACCTGGAGGTGAGCTGAAGAGCGCACGGCCGTGGCGCAGAGAGGACATCTGAGGGGCGGCGACAGCGAGGCAGGACGCGAGGGCACGTCGCGCTCTTCCCCCGAGTGCTGGCCACCCTCGTCCCCGGGGTCTGTGGCCTCCTGCAAGCAACCAAGTCCTTCACAAGGCTGGCAACGTAGTAATTATATAATCAACCGTATATGCGAACACAGCAGAAAATCAAACGATGAATTTGCGAGCCCAGAAAAAATGTTAGAGAAAGTTGATTTGCACGATTGAAAAGTGAAATGCGTCTCTTGATTGTAAAATCGCCATATTTTACTGCTCAAAACGATTAAGAACAATTCGGAGGTAACGTGAAAGAGAAAACTCCGTAGCCGAGGCTGGTGATTTAAGAGCTGTCTGTTCAGACGATGCCGAACAAAAACTGCCCTATTAGAAGTAACCAGCTATGATCATCGACTAAAAGTAAATTACATACATATTCAAGTCGTCTTCCCCAACTCCTTCAAAAATTCGTTTGAATGAAAATATCAAATAACACACGTCACTATTTCACAAATTCAAACTAAAACCATGTTAAAAAATGCCCGTGAGCAAGAATTTCAATCCCCGACGGCCCACCTTTTTAAGCTCTGAAGCTAGAGCCTCAAGCCTGTGCTCATTCGAGACGCCGTCTCGCATGAGGCGGCTCGCGAGAGCCTCGCTCACACCGGGCGAGTCTCGCAGGAGCGTGGCGAACGAACGCGAGTCTCGGACGCTGAGAGCCTCGAGCGACGACTGGGAGTGCCGGGAGTGCGAGGGCGAAGTGCGCGACTCTGCAAAGCGACGTGTTGCTTAATGGAAAGCGTGCTCTAATTGGTAGTAGGTGATATTCGGTGGTAATTTGTTGAGCTGTCAACAAATTACCACCGAATAAATTACCACTCAAATTACCACCGAACAAATTACAAATTCAATAAAGTTGCGTTAATACAGACAATAGGGCAAACTTCATCACAGAATGGCTCAGGACTTCAAAATGCAGATCATGAAAGAGCTACACCATTTGTCCCCTTGCAGAACTAAAAGGCAAAAAATTCGTCATCACGTCTACATGAATGCTGCACAATATTGTGAAGCAGATGTGAAAAGTAGTTTAGGGGACCAATCATCGCGCAAGAAGAAAGTTACTTAGCAAAAATGCACACATACCAAGTCTTGAATATATTCTTGAAAACACTGTAGCCCTAAACGACCAATCGGCTTGATTAAACGATAGAGTCAATTGATTTACGTGCACTTCAATCAACCTCAATTAGGTTGATTAAATTTTATTTCCTGATCGTAACCTTCTCGTCAAAAATGGGTTCAGTGCACACTTGTTCGATCGATACTAGTCGTTTTTGAGCTTTTTTGTCGATGTTGGTGGTGAGCAATGGTTTCGAATACGGATTTGATCTTCCTAACATTAGTGATTTACGCAAAAAAAACGACCATGGTACAAGGGATAGTACAAATTAGATTTTTTTACTTGAACATTCATTGCATTTTCTGCTAGATTCGGAGCCAGAGGACTATCGGAACTTTTTGTGAATGAACGGATATAGATTCGATTTTTCGAGTGAACGCCATAGTTTCTACTTAATAACCGACTCCGTTGAAAACTGTCTTAGACGATCGATCCACTCTTTCAACGCTCGAGTCAAACTTTCAATCACTCCCTCTAAGTTTAATTTATGAAAGAAAGTTAGATTGATAGAATCGATTGATTGAAAGATACGCCTATGTTTTGGGAAAGGAAGGCCTAATCCGTATCCGAAACCTTGGCTCACCACCAAAATCAAGACAGCAGCTCAAGAAAAAACCACTATTGATCAAACAATAAGTGTGCACTGATCCCATCTATAATGAAAAATATTTACTCAAAAGCTTGAACTAAAGGTCTGTATGATGCGCGTGTCAATTGATTAATTCAGTCGTTTAAGTAGGCCGATAACTTTAAGAGCGCAAGAAATACCACTAGCATGATGGCTGAGATGTTCAACGAAACTGCGAAAATCTTTCAGAAAAATCTTATAAGTGCTAAACTGTCATTCTGCGCCTTGTTTACAGTACGATGAACGTAACGCTCTTCTTTCGCAAGGAAGAGAAGAGTGCAAATCATGTACATAATTAAACAAAGAAGCAGTTTTGTCCATCCTCATTTCGATGTGACTGCCTCTCGCTTACCAACTAGAATTCGCATCTCAACCAAACGGTGGAAATAAAAATTCGCCACGGATACACCAGAAATTCATTCCCAGCAACGATAAAACATTCTCGAAAAAAGTCACCTCAGCACGAGAATACCGGCTGTGCTCCGCTAGTCGCCTACGACTGAATATGAATAAGTCGAGTTTTTCGAATGAAATTTCGTACACTTTACATGGTTTGAATGCAGAAACATGCTAGGCAGAATTAATAACTAGCATCATAACAAGTCAATAAGAACATTCCCTCAGGTATCTAGGTACGATAGTGCACCTAGGTACGATACGTAGTCAATCTCCACCACAACTTTTCTTCCTAATTCTCAAAAATTGAAATCATTTTGAGAGGGTAGTCGGTAGATTTGATTGAATATACTTGTGCTGACCTGGTCGTAGGGGCGAGAGTGCTGCCACCTTGTGCGACTGCATGTGTGCGGTGAGGGCGGCGGCGGTGCTGTAGCCCCTGCAGCACACCCCGCACTGGTGAGGCTTCTGGCTGTCGTGCGTCTTCAGGTGAATCTTCAGGTGGTCGCTGCAGCAGCAGGTATCACATTGTTAGGGGATAGTATCAAGTTATTCATATTTCTTAGCAACAATTATTACATTTTCAGTTCCGCAATTTAGGTTCCACTGAATCAGTCTAAAAAATAAATGTTTTCAGTTCCGCAATTTAGGTTCCGCCGGATCAGTTCATAAAATTATGTCTTCAATTCCGCACTTCAGTTCCGCCAGAACTTAGTCATTCATGTTTAGATTTTAGCAAGAGAGGACTACCCGGCACAACGCAATTACACAGTTTGTTATAGTAAATATAGGTATGTGTAGAATCAGTGCGCCTTGACGAACTGAACCTACATAAGTGATTTAGAGAGCTTGAATCACAGAGAGACGTAGTCCCTCTGCAGCAGCATCAGGCACATGAATAAAATTTGATTCCAGCATTCTCACGACTTCACGGGTCTTGCAAAAATTAAAAATTATTTATAGGTCGCTTGTGTTCGCTTGTAAGAAGAGAGAAAGATTTTTTCACAATTATTGTCCATTTCTAAACAAGTAGAATGCGCAGACACTCGAACAATTTTTATACCTGAAATATTAAAAAAAACTTATAAAATACGCTAAGGTCGCTATTGTCCCGCTCTACTCAACTACGAAGGAAATTTTTTCGTTTCGACGCTGTTCTTAGAAACTTTACATTCATGTTTTTTGCTTCTATTGTGCCCGTGCCCGGCTTGAAATTGAACATAGCGAACTTGACAACTTCGGCTTGTGCAATTGTCGGTCAGCTAGCATTGATTGAGCGGGGGGAATACTGATCAACTGCCCGTCTCTTCAGAGCTGTGCCGCGAGGTAGCAACTCGGATTAACGAAATAGCAGCTTACCAGCACTAAATAGACAGATGAAGGAAGACAAGATTTGGACGTATACCTGATATTTCGGAGGAGCTATTTCATTCCATTGAGATTTCAATGAGACTCGTGTCGAATGGCAAATACTAAGAATAATTGTCTCAGTTCAAAGTAAATGATAATCGCAAAGAATAATAAAATGAACGAAAAGTTGAACGCAGGTAGCATAGACTGAAAGATACATAGCAGGTAATTCTACAAACAAATCATCACGCATTTAGACAAGCTACTTCATGTACCGCGCCTGTGCCCTGTGGAGCCCTAAGAGCCTGCACTGCAAAGCACGCACCTCTGCTAGGCGTCGCCAGCTACGCAGAATGAACACGTTCACTGCATCCATATAGTCTGAAATCCTAGAGGTGCGCATACTAAACTATATGCGCGAACTATACAGGAACGTGGCGCTGAGTTCAGCAGTATCGTATATATTAATTTAAATATTAATATATTAATAATCAAATAAATATGTGAGAAATCATTCGCGTTTCTTCGCGGTTTTCTGAGGAAGTGGACCGGCAATATTTTTGAGAAAAAACTAAAATGGTATTAAATCAGAAATACTTAAAAACTTGTAGTTAAATTAATTAATGAACACTTAAAGCAATGAAAACTTAACAATTACATTACGATTACCTAAATATGTACTATCAGTCGATAAATTCCTCATCGTGGATTTCCCCTATCGCGGCTGCATCTGGAACTTAATGCCCGCGATAGGCGAGGCAAGTCATGAACGGAAGCCCCGTGTCATCCACGAAAAATATCAAACCCTGCTCATGACTCAAACACTCTTAGAAAGTACAGCAGAGCTGTCGGAACCGAGTATAGTGTCTTACCTCCGTGAAAAAGCGGCGTCACACAGGCCGCACTTGTACTTCTTGTCTCCGGTGTGCAGCTTGAGGTGGCGATCTCGAGATCGCTTGTGTTTAAAATGACGCCCGCAGTAGCAGCATCTGAATGGCAGCTGATCAGCGTGCCCCTGTAGGAAATAAAGGTACGGTCTGTTGACTGCAGCCAGGCACTTTTGCAGGCTTTGCTGCACTGATCTGCATTGACTATTGTCGTCCACCTGCATACAGTCAACGTCAGAAACATTAGACCAAGTTTGATAATATGAGCTTTGGATGGGCGGCTGCTCTTTGGGAGATTAAAATACATAATGAACCTCCTCACATCAGGCGTAGATGATGTATTCAAGTTTATGGGAGGCAGGTTGGGCGTCAAAATCCTAGCAGGTGAGAGCCGCGTTCCGCCTTTCGCCCCCAATTGGTAAGGAAACAAGTTCTTAGCCATGGTAGGAATGATGCAAAAAATATTAGGGCATCACATAGTTATTAATGTAAAGATGGAAGCACTTTCTCGAGTTCCAAAAAGCCGCATACTTAGAATAAAACGAAGGACACGCCCACCGCGTATGATAAAACAATACTGAATAAATTATGTGATTGTAATATCATTCGACTCATTTAATAACACGCACAGATTCTCAAGCATATAATGCGGAAGAAAACGAAGTTTCAAGTGCATCTATCTGGTTTCGAGCGATTTTGAAGGAGCGCATCGTTTAACATAGCTCGGCAGCATTGCCATCGCTTACCTTCTTGGACTTTAGTTGCTTGTGAAACGTCTGAGGCTCATCGCAAGGCGCGTGATGAGGCTTTCTGATATGCGTCCATCCATCATCAATCCCAGACTTTCGTACTAGGGTAAGCTTAGGGAGTCGATCACTGCGTTCTTTCGAACTTCTTTTATGATTGCTCTGTTTTCTCTTGTATTGTACATCAAATTTTCGCCGACAGTTTGTTTCTGTCATTAATAATTCTCTCGGCGCAAGTCGGTTCTTCGTTTCCTCTCTTCTAGACTCTAATTTTGTGGGCGTCAATTCATGCCTTGGATAAATAAAGTTAGGCATAGAACTTTCTGCCAAATGATACGGCGCGCGATTATTATTATTAAAACCAGCTTCAGGTGTGCGTTCAGAGCTATCACTGCTAGACCTCGGAGAGCAGCAGTTAGGCAGATTGTCCAGACAATCAACATAATCTAAATTAGAAGTAAACATGGATGAACTAGCCGTTTGGGGAACGTAACATTGGATTGCAGGTAAACAATCCATTGAGGGCTCCCAAGAACGAATGTACTCGAGCGTATTGAGGGAAAAAGGAAGAGCAGAAGCAGGACGGGATGGTAATGGTGCTAGCGGAGAAGAAGTCACAGGAGGTACAACAGTTTGTGAAGTTTCTGCTGTGAGACTCTGATCATCGTTTGCGAAAATAAATGAAAACATTCCTCGGTGACTAATTTCTTGCACGTCGTCAGACTCGTAATCACTTACATGAGACACATGATGTCTGCTGGTCATTGCGCTGACGTTGGCTGTTGTAGGAGTGGAATCATTACATAAATCTACGCCTAGATCCTCCTTCACAGTTTTCGTAACAAATAATCCACACTTCTCGTGAGCGAAATTATGCTCATCCAAGTCAGAACCAACTTCAATAACTTCTTTAGGGCTCAAACAACGGGAAACAAAAGGATTCAGACAACAGCTACCTTTGAATGTATTTTGATCATTCTCCTCTTCTGTTTGAACGCTATTCTGGATTGGGTGCTCCGCAAAGATCTCGGCAACCGACGAGCATCCAGGCTGGTCATAGAGGTCTGAAATGCTATCGGAGTCATCCTTTTGAGGCAGATTCAAACTAGCTAAATTATAGCTTATTGTTTCCTTATGTTCGATTACTGGACAGCCAAAACTAATATTATTTTTGCATGTGGCTTTTTCCTGCTTCCCTGTGAGTGCGGCTGTCTTCTGACGACTTCTTTCTCGAGACTTTAACAAGTTTGGTCGCCGACTGAAGGCCTGATTTTTGCTTTTGGTGGAGAATGGCCGTTTAATGTGAGGAAATCTCAACTTTACCGGCTCATTAGCTTGGGAAAACGATGCGCCGACAGTGGTAACTGTCTTGGAACGCACGGTAGTGTTTTTTATTGTATCAGCAAATTTAGCGTCGCAAACCTCTTCGCTAGATACCGGTGAATCATTAATATGCAGAATGGTAGAATCATCAGGTAAAAACAAAGTCAAATTGTTAGCTGCAGATGACGCCTCATCATAGGATGCAAAACCTGATAGGATACCATCACTTTCCGGTTTACCAATCGACAAGGTTGACATTGGAGAACATGGTAAGAGACAGTTCCTGAAATTACCATTTAAATCCAAACACCTGACTGACTCGGCGAAATTTTTCGCTGGAGCAAAATGATTTCGATCGCGAGATAAGTAATTCGTTGCAGGACTGGATTTCGGAACTTCCAAGTTGTCGACATCGATTCGATTGCCATCGCTTGACGTTGACGAATTACGACTAAACTCCTCGGCGCATTGCGGTGCAGAGGTTTCGGCTCGCTCAGTCGCACCGGACGCAATATGAACGGCATTTTCATGTAATGTTTTGTAACCAACGTAGGAACACGCGGTATAGGACTCGTTGAATGCTGAGAGCGGCTCTGAACAATATGATTCATTCATTCGAGTTATTTTTTCCAATTCTTCCTTGATGAAAGATTCAGTTTCAGCAAAAAGCAAACATCTGCACCGATTTGCTCCAATGCATACTAAATGAGCATTGAATGGCTCATCGAAAAATAAATTTTCGAAAAATTTCAGTCGGGTAATGTTGCTGTGCGCTGAGTTTCCTTCATACTCTGCGACGTGGTCATTCCTTCCATCGTCGCTGGGACACGTCAGCGTGTCATCGTCATCGTAAGACGAGTGCCGAACTCGAGAAAAATTGAAGAGCTCAGTGCTAACAAAATCGCAAGTCTCTTCACGGAGAAAAAGTGACTTGCTATGAGCGACAGCCATCACTAAATTACCCGCCTGATTAGTTCAGAATTCGGAATAATTGTTGAGCACACAGGAGAGGGATGTGAATGCAGAGATTTTCGGGTCATGCATTCGCTGAGGAGAAAGAAAGCTATGAGAAAATAAAACAGAACAGCAACAAATAATTTGCGAGATTTGAAGAGAAAGATATTTAGTAAATTGAAAAAAGCGCACTCGTGTTACCATAGAGTATCATACCGAACACTCATAACATTAGAAAAAATTGTCAAGTAAATTTGTATCTCTTTTCGGGTAAAATTACGCAGAGGTTGGACATCGAACTTCGTGATTGTCATAAAATGTTGTCGTTAAAACCAAAAATTACGATTTAACCATTCGCAATGAGATGGAATTATTTGTACAGACATTCCTTTATTTTGTGCATAGGTACATTTCAGGTTTGGACGGTGACGAGGATTTGCAAATGAAAGGAATGTTAGGTAGATACCATATCAAGTGTCTATAGGAAAGAAGATTTTGCATCGGTCATTTTTCAAAGATGCTGTCAATACCACGGGCTAGCACCAGCTCGAAAGCTATCAAAATTATATTTATCTAATTATATTGCATACGTATGATTTGAGCTAGAGAATATATCAAGTTATATGAGAACCGATCTGATTTGAACTTAATTGATAAATAGTTCAAACTTGATCGTGGGCCATTTTCATGAGAAAATGTAAATTTTTGCACTTGATTTGAATTGCTTGGTGTATCCCTTAGATCAAAGCAATTACGAGAATAAAGATAATCTATCCTCAATTTACTACAAAACTTGATATGTTTGGGTGTACCTGATGATATTTTATTTTCAAATAGGTATAAGTAAGAGAGGTGAGCTACTTCATCATAACACTTTGACTCGGATTTCGTTTACCAGATGGCGTAACTGATATAGGCTTCGGAATGAATCAAGTCTCTGGGTTTTAAACGCTTAACAAAAATTATTGTCGAGGCCTAGTTTGGCACGAGTATTGATGAAAGCTTTTTTTCCAGCGCGACTTTTGGCAAATGATTTCGTATAAGCTTCACACGTGACGCGTGTCATTGATGGCGTGCGCGAAGAATTAAAAAATATTTGCAGGTCTTGGGAAAAAATTGCTGACAAAATCGCTTGCAAAATTAAGCAAGATTAAACAAGTAAGTGCATGGGGAGCAAAAACAAAAAAAAAAGGGGTTGTGTTTATGACAGAATGTAAATATAAAAGAGAATATGAAAGTTCCACAAGAAACGAGAAAAAAGCGGTTAGTGTTATAGTAAACGATGCGTCAAATGCGTGTATAATTTTACCTGTTCGTGTCTTTTGAGGAACGATAATCTCGGGAAGGCCCTGCTGCAGTAGCCACACAAGTAAGGCGTGTTCTGGGTCACTCCTGCACAAAGCAATACATGTCTTAGGTCATTACTTGTAGTGAACCGCCAAGCGTCACTCTGACATGAGACAAAAATGGAACACAAAATAACATTTCAGATTTTGAAGACCATAGTTAAATTCGGAGCCCGAATTCTCTCGAGAATAAGTCGATTAATTTAAAACGTAAACGAGTAATTATAGGTCGTTCTGACTCAATACGGAGATAGTAAATGGAGTTACGGGAAAGATAGCAGACATAATTTGCCGTTCGCTATCAGCACTCAGTCCTTTCGAGTCGTCTCGTAATTTTCTCTGTATTTAGACTGAAAATAGCCATTAAGGTATAGAACATAATAGAAAGATGAACAAGTGAGGAAAAAATGATAGTGGAATTACCTGAAATCAATCAGCCATTGGGGCTGGAATTTGAGTAATTAAACGTCGCTTATTCGATCGCCTCTCACGCAGGTACACCCAACAAAACGTCCCACCCTCGTCTCGTCCATAAAGTTGCCGCCATATCCAAATTTCCAACTTTAATCAATTCAACGGAAATTGTACTTTCGTCAATTTCTCCAGTGCCATTAGTTGCTAATCTTTACCGTCTCAAGCGAACTTTGTCGAAAATACAATGATTGAATTCCGCCGTTTCACATCTTTTCAACCGTAATGAAAATCATGAGAGGCACGCTGAAAGTTATACGCAGGCCTGCGCAATACGTATATTATGGCAATACGTATACCGTCGAGTGCTGATAGTCGACAATAAAACTTGAGCAATACGTGATAAAGATGACTGCAGAAAGATTTTATAATTAGCCATTCATGTTAAATAAGAACCTATATTAATCGAAAGCGCATTTCTGCATTGGGATGCGTGGCTATCACTTGATTTCTGCTTTCAAGACACCATTCTATGTATTGGGTTGAATTGACCTCTATCCAGTTTTGATAATTGTTTGTTCGTTCGTTGATAATTTTGCATTCGAAGATCTGGTAAAACCAGAATTTGTATTAATTATTATTTATTACCTGTGACTTTCGGACTTTGCAGAAATGGATCAATAAACGATTTTTTAGCCATCACATGAAAGGAATGACTGCACACGTAAACTTAATTTATCCGTATTTTGGAAAGGAGAAAATTGCAATACAGTATAATGTACCATAAGATTTGACATAAGTTTAGACAAACTTGAGTATATAAAATTTAATGTTAATTGCGGCGGATGCACTCCGAAGATTTAGAGGTCAGTAGCCGAGTGAGTTAGAAAGAAGTTTGAATGCACCAGCCAAAGACGGTTAGGGTCGATCGAGATAATGTACTACCACAAGACATTTTTAACGATCCATTGTGCGAGCTGCGTCTACCAACTACAAATCGGTTCTTGATCGATATAATGCCCCGCTGGCGACCAAGACGAATCTATTGACTTGAATGATATTAACAAATATATTTAATAATCAAGATTCAGCAGGAATGAGGTAACAATATATGTATGTAAATAATGAATAACTTCGAAGGTGTTTCTTCGATAGAAAGCAACGGCCGGTCGACTCTTATATTGCAAGTCACGCTACTTCTAGGGGCTTTCGAGTCTCTCACGAGTTCTTACCGTCATTTAAAAAAACTTAACACTGAATCAATGAAAATAAAATATTAATACAGCAGAAAGTAAATCATTGCAACGAATGAGAATTTCAAATTTAATAACTAAACCTGGAACGCGTCAGCTCGTGTTACAATAAAAAATATAACTCGGTACTCACTGGAGTGAGTGCAAGAGAGCGCATTTTCTCGTCGACGAAAACTTGAAGTCACGGACTGACAGACAGACGGACAGACAGACGGACAGACAGACGGACAGACGAAACATGCACAATAGTGCATGTTTTCCATACACGAGAAAATGCGCTAAAAATAGAGAATCGAACCTTCACACAAATAAATATAATTATAACCGTCCCCACTACAGAATCAAGTTCAGAGAGTAAGGTACTCAAGTACGAGTTACACATCTTTCTTCCAACGCTTACAAGCAAGACAATGTACCTGTTGTGGCTGATGCCTCGATGTCACACATCTTTCTTCCAACGCTTACAACTTACAAGCAAGACAATGTACCTGTTGTGGCTGATGCCTCGATGTCACATCTTTCTTCCAACGCTTACAAGCAAGACAATGTACCTGTTGTGGCTGATGCCTCGATGTCACATCTTTCTTCCAACGCTTACAAGCAAGACAATGTACCTGTGGAGGCTGATGCCTCGATGTCAGTGTCAGAGGCGGAGTTGGTGATGGCGGGCGGGCGGGGAGACGAGTTCTCCTCACCGGCCTGGCGCTGCTCGCCTGGCCCTGTGCATCAATAAGAAATATCATCAGGGCGGACCTTAGGACTCCGTTCAAAAATGTCCTATTATTAAAGATGGTGCTTCACTTTAACGCACTTATCTTGAGAACCGGGTCAAGTTATGCTCAGGTTTACTGACCATGGATTGCATAACACGTTTAAATGTAACCACACACAGTTGCACGGAAAATCTTTGACGAATTTTAGTCGGGTTACAAGTTATTGACCGGCTAAGAACTTCAATACAATAGAGCTTCTTGTCCGTGTATGTTATGATGCCAAGACAAGTTTCAAGCGCTAATGATCCACGAGGATATAGAATACTAGCATTTATTGCGGGAAATAGACTTTTTAATTCATTAAACATAGTTTATATAATTTTCTTTCATTTGCTTAAGACGCTTGAAGCCAAAGCATGTAATTTACTGAGAACCAGCGCAATACATCGTCCAGCCCAATAGAAAATTGCACCGAACTATGTAAAGATCCTTCCTTTTTTCACAGGGTAACGCATCTAAGAATGAACACAGAAGCGAGCTGTCGACTTATTTGGCGACTTTAGCACCATTTCCGACATCTAAGCCCATTACACGGCAGGAAAAAATAAATGCATTCACAATCGAATCGGAAAACCTTGAAAGTGAAACAAAAGCAAGGTACGCATTATAATAAACGAAATTATGCAGATACCTCCATGAAGGTCAACAATATAGTATTTTTAGTACCACAAGCTTCGTAATATTAATTACCTAACACATCGAAATGTTAATTACAGAACACATCGTCATATTAATTACCGAACACATTGTAATGTTTAAAACCTAAACCAGCGTTATCTTCAGAAAAAGAAACATTCACTCACGTTCGAAAAGCAGACAATAATAAACCTAATATTTATTATAAGTTTTTAATAATATATATATTGTTTCGATACGATATTGCACATCATTTTGCATGATAATCGTATCGTATGGTATATAATAATCCCGGCACATCTTACTCGGAATTAGATGTGCCGGACAGATAATAAGTTAAGCAATTTCTCACGTGGCCATGTCAATCTCTTCGACGCCAGACGCAGAAATTAATTTTCATAGAAAGCTGCAACTAAAATTTAAATTCAAGGATAGCGCAAAAATCGCATAATTGTCACGGAAAAAGTTAGCATACACCCTCGAATATGAGCAATTTCAAACTGAAACTATACAACCATGTGGTACTGAACCTAGGCATTATTTTGTTGTTTATATCTAGTAATCTAGTATCTAGTAAGCTACATCTAGTAACCCAGAACATCACAGGTCACCCGCCAAGTTTTATACGGTTGGGAGGAGGCAGACGGGATTAAATGACTCTTTTGGCTGCCTCCAAATATAAACTCGGCCAGATGTAGGAAATAAGGTAAACGATGATTTATCAGATAAAATCAAATTTTCCACTACTAGAGGGACCAATTCTGGAAATTTTTACACAACTCTAAATGCATTGAAGCATTTTCATTTAAACCAGAGGTTTTCTAATTGAATATTTTTCATAGAATTAAGATCTGTGCAGCTCTCGGTGGACAGTCATTATGGAAAATGGATTCTGTGGATGTCCATTGAGGTCTGCATTAATTTTGACGGCCGTGGTCTTTCGATTGTATCACAATTTGATTTCGATACCGATGATCTCTCTCAGACAACTTCGACTTTGGGTCAGACCTGTGCTTTGCCGAGGCGTTTTTTCTTCTCTTTCACAGCAGTCATTACTTTTGAGACAGAACCTCTAAAAAGGTCAAAGCATTCGGGAAGTTTCTGTCACACTAGCATCTGCCATACGGGCACCAACAATTTGGCTTCTTTGAAAGTCAGAGAGGTTTGCCATTTATAGGTTTTAGGTTAGGATATAGACACAAAAATTTACTATACATAAGTATCTGTGCGAGGATATAAATAGCAGCAACAATATTTGATATTTTAATAATAACAATAATAATTAGCGATATCAAAATGTCGGGAGTTTCCTTTATTTTGTTCAACCCTTTTATATGCATGAACAAATTTGATCCCATAAAATAAGAAACAAACATTTCAAGATTGTTCACACAATTAATTTTACATTCATCAAGAATAGCTCAGAGAGCTGTCGAGAGCTGCTCAGAGAAAACCCTACAGAACTGTCGACTTCAAGCGACCTCGCGCTTCTCGCGACACCCAACGAGTTCAGAGCCTCAGCTACAGCGCTACTAAACATAAATACGTTCGGCTCGATCCAGAATACATAAAAATAAGAAGCTACGTAACGTTGAATTTCTGCCTGAATGAAGCACGTGAGTTGAGCTAGCGGCTGCTGTGCTGAGCGCCAAGCAGAGCAGCCCACGAGGCACGAGAAAGAGCTCGAGTGTCTCCAGGGAGAGACGAGAGGGCACAGCCTGGGGAGGAGGTCGGGGCGCCTTGGGGGAAGAATAGTTTATTGATCCCCAGCAGGCGGAATCCCGAGGGACTGCAGGAGTGCTGCCCTCGAGACCCAGGGGTTGGGGAAGAGCACAGGGGAGGGTTGACGGAAGGGGTTGGCCCCACACTGAGCAGAGCAGCAGGCGAGGCACGGGGTTAGGCCGTTGCCATTCATGCAGCTCCATAACGAGCAGAGCCCCCCTGAAACGCTCAG